TGTACGACAAAGTAAAGCAAATTGTGTACCGTAACATAATTATGTACTTCAAACATCTTGAAAGTTTACAACCTGTTTGATTGCACGAACTTTAGGGCGTCGTGTCCTTGCAGGTAATACGAGGAAAATTCAGCTACAATAACTTTCTTTATAATACGAGAATAAACAATTTTATTCCTACTTTGTGTTTATGTGTCTACACATTTTTCACAAATAAATGTTCAGGAAAGTGAATTGAAATTTAACTATAAAAGTGAATGAAAAGATATTAAAATTTAATGTATTATTTAGTCAAACGGAATTCTCTAGAGTTTGACTGTACAAATATATTCGGCATTAAAAACTATACAATTCTTTAATACATAGGATAAAATTCTTTTTAATAGTTTCCAAGATATTCAAGCAAATATGCTTTTCAGAGTATACTTTGAGAGTCGGTCTCACCCTTTGAATATGTACGGAGGTCGATAAAGAAATGCGTAGTAAATATTTTTATAAGAACTGCTTTGAACCAAAGTTTCATTAAAATCTGTTGCTGTTAGTGCAGTATATCCTCGTTGCTCTCCTAACAAAGGACATCAACTAACACGAAGGCTCGAATTTTAAATGAAATTTGGCACACACGTGCACTCTCAAACAATATTTCACACATATTTTTTTATGGCTGCCCATGTTTATGTTCACGGGTTGAGAACAGTCCATACAGTTGGAGACGAAAAACATGTTTCGTGGAGTAGGTCTCGTATGCAATAAAAGAACTAGACAAAGATCTTAAATACAAAAATTATTTCCTTTTTCACGAGAAGTGATATAATCGGTTGTTGTTAATATTTTCAGTACTACATAATAGAGTAAACATTGACACAGAATAAGTAGAACATTCTGTTTCTTTCTACTAAATTATTAACGATAAGGGATTTATATAAGAAACCTTTCTCTATAGATTATTCACCATTCAAAGTATCATTCGATGCAATATCACCGGTGGGCATTACTCCACTGATATACTTAAAATCTCATAAAACTTCACGCATAGATAGAAGTAGGAATAAACAGTCGGCGCTTTTGTTCCTTGCGATAACCGTCCGTATTCGTGTTTAAAGTGCGAGAATAGCCTGCGAAGCGAGAGACGAGGAAACAGTTCGTTTAATATTTTCGGAAACTGAAAACAATAAGAGATAACCGGCAAATATTGAAGTTACCGTTCGAAATGTTTTCATATATCGGTGGCGGGCATGTAAAACACGGGTTGGGGGGAGGCCGGGCGATCGATATGCGTAATAAAAGGAAACTTTTTCAGGTAACGAAACCGTGGCCGGTCGCATTCGTAACGAAAGGGGGTTTCGATACTGCGAAGAACTTTGGTTCCGCTGGTAAAGTGCACTTAGCCGCGTCCCGCTTAATTACTCATTCCGACAGTTCGCGAAACTCCCTTTAAAGCAAGTTCCTTCTGGTGGACAGAGGCGGTCGGACGAGGTTGTAGAAGTGCAACGGCGGATGGATCGAGGCAGTCGATATGCAATTACATGAAACAGGCCTCTGTTGATACAACCGGGCCAGGTTGCCTCGTGGTAATTCTTAATTGCTTCGGAGAGCGATTTAACTGTCGCTGGGAGTTTCTTAGTGAACTAATTACGACGATTAAAGCGACTCCATAGCCTACGGGGGGTTGTTTGTCGGCTGAACATGTGGGCGTACTTTAGCACTGAAAAAACCGTCGGCGAGAAAACGCCATACGAGAGACAGAATTTTTGACAATTGGAAGTTTTGCGAGATATTTAGGAGCTGGATTGATAGCTTGGGGGAATACAAATTATTTTTTCGTTTTGAGAGATCGTATCTACGTAACCGTAACTAAGAATGACGATTGCCACAGCAGAAATGTGGGATAGCGAATGAACCTTTCTATTTACAATATGTAATTTGTCCATTTTATTGCAAATTTTTACTAAACGGTTAGTAATATAATACTTTCTTTAATGATTTTCAAATTTTCAAAATATATGTACAAAGGGAAGTATATATGTAATCAATATTCACAGCAAAAATAATCGAGATTAATATTAAATTATCGAAGATATACAAAAAACATTAATTTTTTTGGAATATTAGTTACTGGACTTGTGTTGTTTTGGAATTCATGGTTTCAATTGTTTCTGATTAAAAACTTAGGTGCATTCGCCCTGCACGAGTATACATTTTATTTTTTAATTTGAATTCGCGCAGAATGAGAAATTTTTCAAACTAAATTCCACACTTAACGATTTAATGATTATTTCTTCTTAATCCCTGGTAGAGAGTATGTAATGAAAAGTTCCATAATACTATGGTACCCAAGTATTTAATTAAAAAAGAATCGTGATTAAGGAACTACTTGAATTTAATTCATTCTGATAAATGCTCGTTCGGCGTCCAGCAGCGGACCCAACTTCTCTGACGTAAGCGCAGGTGTCAAGGATATCGTCGAACTATGAAATCGGATTTCCGAAACTTTTAATTGTGTGACATCACCTTAACCCAGGCGTTTCGAAACGCTATTCGTCACTCTTCAAGAGATCCCGGTGTGTTCAGTAACTTTTAAGTACATGATTTCACCAAAAATATAATAATAAGGTACTTTGAAGTCTTCTATGTATGTGTCCTGTAGCGCTAAAAAGATTGTTTAGAAACGTCGTATTACTTTTTCACACTAGACTTATGGAAGGAGCCGATTCGACTCGTATTGAATCTTATAAACATTATTTGGTGAGTGTTTGGTCGATTTTGATTGATGCACTTACGCCAATACGTATCCTAATGATATAGTTTTAAACGTCTAATTTTCTAAATCTAAGCGAACGAGCATCAATCTTTCTAGGAACAATAGAATTAACTGTACAATAAATGTCCTTAAATCTAGTGTTAAAAATGACATTCTCGTCTAGAATGTACAAATATTCAGTTAACACTATTCTTACTTATTTTTCATATATACCTATTAATACCAAGAAGTAATTTAATAAAATCTATCAAATTACCTAATACAATCTAATATCAATTTAGTGTAATACAATAAAAGCATATATTACTAAATTAATTTTACAATCGTTATAGAAAAAGTCGAAAAGTCAATGAAAACTGATTAAACTTAAAAAATAATTTTAAGTTAAAATTTTAAAAGGTATCTTTTAACGCCTTTGGTAAAAATAATGTTAGAGGCATTCTTTGGAAATTCGATAACCGAGTTATAGTTTCGTAAATGGAACGGAGCTTTGAGTTAATATCCGAACGCAATTTTAGTTCGAATGTTCAGAACTGAAGTAACACCGGATCCTAATTAGCGGAGTGTACAGATATTTCGATAATAAGTTTTGTTAGGTTTGAGAAATGTTGAACGGCAACAATAAAACAGCGACTACGAAGAATATAACATCAATACCAGCAAGAACGAGGATAGTAATTACATTTAATGTTTTTATTTTATGTTTGTCTATCGTTGCTATAAACTGTTAACTGACTAGGAGAAATTATAAACAGATAAACAGGAATGTTTGCGGAAAGTTTAAAGTGTAAACTCGCAATCATTGATAGTCATCCTACGCCAGCACCGTGAAAAACAGGAATAAAAATGTGTGTATTATTTCCACAAAACAAAAGGGTGGTTAGGGGGTATTATTCATTTTGAAAGTAACTTAACTCCATTTTCCAAAAATCATCTTAACACTAAAACTACCGAGCATTTAATAATATAAAATATTTAATATAAAAACCGTAACAATAGATTATTTTCACTTTCCTCGGACATTCGTTGTGGAACTCAAGTGAAACTATTTATTTTTAAAATCATTTCAAATATTCAATGCTTTTAAGATAACAATAATCGCGAAACAAAAAATCGAAACCAGTCATTTTGACTAGAACGGTAGTTCTAGTGTTAATGGTTATAACAATTCGAATCCTATATTATTTTATAAATGGATTTACTAAAAATGATGATTTTGTAAGTTTTTTTTCTCAGTAGTGAATGTACAATAGTCACGATCTATCGTATTTGTAATTGCAATTGAAACTGTCTGCAACGTGATTAGGAACAAGTATCTACAATTTGTTCCATTGGCCATGAGAACCGACGTAGGTGGTTTTTTTTATCGACAAACCGATTGATTTCATTTGAGCCTGAGCTTTTATGTAGGTGCTTGAACTAGTGATATAATTTTAGCTAACAAGTGTCGATCAGTTATTGTGGAAAGAAGTAGTTCTCGATGGGAATTGTGTCATGTGAATGAAAAATTGTTGGCTTTAGTAATAGTTGAAATAATACTTTTAACTTATTTAAAAAATAATTTTATGAAGTTTTATCTCTCCATATAGGAAGTATTGTTATTTATATAGGAAAAATTATCTAAAATACCTGTGCAAATTTATATTTGAAAACTCGAAGCTAGACACAGCGGCAACTTTCATAAAATTTTATTTAACTTTTGTGCGCCATTCTAATATTCATAATATCCAATATTATCCAGCTTAAATTGATTTAATATTGAAACAGTGAACAAATTTATTAGTTTATACTATTTCTCGATAAAAAATAAATAAAAGATATAATGTTCCTATGTTTGATTAGAAATATTTAAATAAGTAAAAACCAATAAATACGATAAATTTGTTTATCAGTTGTTACAAACTAGAATGTTTAACATTAACCGGTAACATTCAAACTTCCGTACCTAAAGGTTAAGTTCATATTCATATGTACAGGTTAACACTTTAGGGAAGTATCGAGAAACATCCATACGGGGCAATACAAATAAAGTCGAACAACAAATGACAAATTTCTTGATTTTAACCCAATAAAAGGTTACATTATTCCTGAGTCCCATCTTCTTTCCCGTTATTCGCAACCAAATTTTCACCGTCACCGTGTGACACCTGCGCTGCTATACAATGTCCGCTGACCTTGTCTCGACAACGGTGCAATTTGTTTGGCGTGCTATCACAGTTGATTATATTATCATTTCCAGACACCGAGAATCCGAAAGTTTCGACGTGTCCGACGTCCTTTGAAGTGCGTCTAAGCCCCGGCGAACGAAATCGCTTAATATTCTGGCAGGAGCCAACGTTCACCGACAACGTCGGCGTCGAGCGGGTCTACAAAACGAGGGTGAGTAGACATCGAGTTTGCGAGTGTAATCCTCGTCGGGGTTGATGTGTGCCATCGTGTCTCCGTTTCCCCGTGAAATTTCGACTGTTTATCTCGAGAAGATGACGTTTTCGCAACCGCCCCTTTATTTCACTGTCGAACTACCCTCGCCAGCGCTGCTCCATCCGTTTATGCCGCCGCAGCGCCTCTTAAAACGGCCGGTCTCCTTTCTTCTTGCTCTCCTTTTTTTTTCGTGCAAGAGGTTTATTAAAAGTTCCCTACTAACGATCGAACTTGGCAATCTCGCGGTTATCTTTGGCCAAGATATCCTTCATTAATTATCGTATCATGTCCGGAGCACGGAACCGGTAACTGGCCGACGGTGGAGGGTACCTGAAAATAGAGGACAACGAGAGAGGATTACACGTTTTTCTCACTTTCTTTCTTTTAATTCTAGTTTCATGTATCGATACATTTTAACCTATTTTTATCGTTGGCTTACGTATTTGCATTTTTTGAAGGTACTGAGATTATGAACGAATAAGAGGATGAAATAAACGGGATACTGTTTTGGTTATCTTATTATGTTTACGATTATTGTTATATTGTTATTAATTACGTTGTTATTATTTACGTACTTACTTTGTAGTTTTTACTGTTCATTGAAATACTCTGTTTTCAATGCTTTTCATACGCGAAACAAGGTTTAACAGAGGAAGTAATTACGGTTAAAGGTATTTATTGGTACTTTAAAGAACGATATTTCTAATCGTAGACCATTACATTTTTCCGTGTATAAAAATTCATCTAACGAATTCTTGTGTTTAAATTTTTAGTAGCTGTACACGTGATAAAGTATTTTAGTAATTGTGCAATTTGATAAAATATTTTTTAGATTAAATACATTCGGTAAAGTAGGAAATGTATAGGCTTATATTTTCCTTATAATGTGACATAATTGTTGATTGAAATCTAAAGGCTTCATTGTATACAAAAATTTATTATTATTACTATTATAGAACAAAATCTGTTAGAAGGCAACCCAAAAAATTATCAATACATTTCTTAACGTTGACGATGTAGAGTAGGATACTTTTTTAAAATAATATTTAGTTTTCAATATCAGAACTGAAACAGTCTGGTTGACTAACAAAATTAATTCATAATTTGCCACTTTGCTACTTTTGATAATTTCATTTAAGATTATCATCCAAAAAATATAATTACAGTCGTCACAAACACAAACTAAAAAATGTTATTAACGCACTTCCGATAGGTAAAGAATTGTTTATCCGTCACGTTGAATGATGCTCGATTATTCCAATTAAAGCGTCTCCGACATTTTGGATCGAGGGCGGTATAATTTCCGCATTCAGGCGTAAAGTTCTGAAATTATAAGGCAGGGGAGTAGAAAAAGCAAGGCGGAAAGAGATAAAAAACGAGGGGAATTTAATCGACGCAACCCAACGGGAGAATCGGACGGTTAATTTGGAATTCAGTTGGAGAAATTGTGGGTGGTCAGGAAAGCAAAGTTATCGACCGATAAGCTGCCGGTCTGCCGTTACGAGAACGGAACTCATCGCGGTGCTCGCACTTTAGATAATAATCCTGTGCGCCGTGTTATCATGGACGCGGAACGTTCCTATTTCAATCTCAAAGGAGGATTCAGTTCCGCGGCTGTCGAAAGTTAACTCGCCTGTATTCCACACAGGAACCCGGACAACTGATGTACCCCGGCATTCACAACGTACGCTACATCGCTTCCGATGCAGCCGGAAATCGAGCCGAATGCCATTTCTCGATACACGTGCGAGGTAAATTTATGTAATGCTGAGGGAGGCCTGAAGTCGTATGTCCAGTGATCGATGATATCGAGAAACGACGTCCATCGAATATTCTTACCGAGGAAATTGCTAAACGTTCAATACGACGCGACACAGTGACGTCTAGAGGGCAGGTTTAACTATTATTTCAAACATATTGAACATTTCTTAATGAACTACTTATATCAATATCTTAATACAATAATTATATTCGTGATCACTGACGTGAAGTCAAGTCTTTTTATTTCTGATAACTTTCAAAGCATTTCATTTTTCTGCTTTTTTCCATTTGAGACTTCTCTACTGGAAAGTTCTTCATTTCAGACAACCGATTGTTATAAGACTAATAGTTCAAAACAATTTTTCGAATGTTCGTCCTTGTTTTAAAGAATTTATGAGAAAGGTATAGCAATTGAAATATTTGACTTTTGTTGCAGTTGGTGTTTAAAATAGTAGAAGTTCTTTATGAATATGTATATATTAATTTCTTGTGATTTCGTTTGAAAGATATTTTGAAATATAAAATTCATTAATGACTTTTCAATTACAGTTGCAGATTCCTAGTGAAAGTTTATAATTTGATTTCCTTCGGGCAATTTTAACTAAATCAAAAACAATTAGTTAGAAGTTTAAACTATGATACAAACTACATGTTATTATTTCGTACCATCACCATCTGTTATAGATCCAGTATGAATATATTGCAACAATAATTTGCAATGTTAATTCCACTTTATTCTTTCACATAAAAATCAATGAATTTTCAAAGATTCACAAAATATCTAATAACCTATGAAACAACAACAATAATAATTGATCTAATAAAAAAAATTCTATATCTTTTACCACCTTGATACGTAACATTAACCTTTTCAAATCAGTGATAATTACTCACTTCAAATTTATATTTTACAATTGCCGATATTATACAGATTTCTTGTACGAAAGTATTAAATTCGATTGCTCGTGTGCGAGTTACAATAAAAGTTACACTAAATCTCACCAAATACGTCTCCATATAAATAAGTCATGAACAGTGCCCGATACTTTTAATTAATTGAAATTAACCATTATGGGGAATTGAAAACTTCCGTTTTCTAATTTTGGTCACGTATTTGAGAAAATTCATTAACGTGCAACATATTGCACAGAAAATGATTATTCTGTCATTTAGTCTGGCCGAACGTCGTTTCGATAACATCGATTGGATGCTATAGAAAATGATTAATTGAACTTATCTGGTGTTCGGTATATTTTCAGAATCCGAGCATCGTCGGGATTCCGAGGTGAGCTGAAAAAAGTCGCTGGCCGAGTTTCTGGCAGTTGGAATTACTTTTGTAAAAAGATGAAATCCTGGCTGGTTCCTCTTCCATTCGGAAACATAATTTTGTCCTATTCGTTTCACGGTATCCTCGACACCATTTCTTTTTTACCAACCACTAAGAAGATTCAATGTTATGTCCTGCACGTCGTTGCAATAGAATCCCAATTATCGTTGAATTTGCTGTTTCAAGAACTACCTTACAAGTTTTGTTCTCTTTTCAATACATCCGCGACTGAAAATATTACTGAGTTACTGTTACGCTGTTGAATAATTAATTACCTCAATCTCTGTATGCCACCAAAGCATTTTAAAGTATCTGAAGTATTTTTCATTACAGCACTGCTATGAAACAAATATGGTTAGATACTTAAATATGTTTAATTGAACTAAACTTTATTCAATTGAATTGAACTAAATTTAATTTAAGAAATGTTAATTGAATTTAATTTAATTTAACTCAATTTAATTTAATTTATTTTATATTAAAGTACCATTAGACAAATTGATTGTCCTCAGTAATTGTATAAAATATTTATATTTGTTAAATGTGCTATTTAAACTTTAAAATGGAGTAGATATTTAAAATAAAAATAACAATCGACAATAAGAATCGCATAATTCAGAACACAAATGACTTATTTAGTATCATATAATTATATAAATATGTTGAACCATTGTTTTTCACGAGTTCAAAAAATATTATTTTACGCTTCGTCTCTCAGAAAATTAAATTGAAAAGCATTACTCCATTCATGTTACCTCAACTTAACATGACATGTATGTTTGATGGAAAAATTATTCTCGAAAAGGTGAAGGGAGTTTTCATAAATGGCGTGTCTAAATTCTTTGCCACTGCATAATTCGACAGTGACGGATACAAGCGCCCTTCATGCGATTCGGAAATCCCTAACATGTCACGAGATCTTTGCACTTTTCTATCTTTCTGCATCCAGCGAGAAAAATTCTAAAAGCTTCCGGAAATGGTGTTGCATGTTGGAAAGCTCGCCGGGAAACTTTCGAAACGTTTCCCACGCTTATTTAGTTCATCACGCGATTTATGTGTGAGGATTCCCGTAGCAGCACGTGCTGACAGACAACTTTATGGCTGTGCTTCGATTTAAAAATGAAAAGGAAAATAGATAAAAACGAAACGTTCTTGTAATGGATGTAACTGCTCCGGCTTGTAGAAGCGAGAAAAGATCCTTTTCTATTGGCTTAAAGACCTTTTTATCGTTGATCTCGATTTTTAAAAATGCTTTACACGAATTTGTAGTGAGGAGCATAAGGATTTGTACAGTAAACATTTCTATGTGAAAAATGTTTCTTCGTATATGATATAATATTATCTATTAATATAGATGTAATCATCATTGAGTACATTGATAGATTCTTATCGTTAGTAGAAAAGATTCTTTGTCTTAATATGTAATCATTTGGTGATTCTTGTATAGGTTATACACTTAATTGAAAATTCAGGAGTAAAGTCTGCTATTCTAATAGAAGCTTTAATGCTTTCAGAGTCTGGAATATTATTATTATTACTATTATTATTATATTATTATTATTACATTCATAATGTATCCAATAGTGTCCAATAGGAATTTGTCCCCAACGCTTCGCCATCATTGTAGCTGGTTTCATCAGGGGTTGAAGACATGCTGATACTGGTGTATGTCTGAGAAGACTGTCTTTTGGTAATTGGTCAGCTGAACAATTAAAAACTACTGGTGACTACTGATCCGGAACATGAACCAGGTACCTATATAAATACAGTTTTCCTAGACACACACCAGTATCAGTGTCTTCAGCCCCTAATAAAGCCATCTACAATGATGGTGAAACGTTGGAAACAAATTCCTATTGGACAGGGCTCTCACCCGAAAGCCACTTATAAATCTACTATTTTAAATACTCGTTTCTGGAGAAATTAAAAATATTTTGTTTCTGAGAAATTCTACAGAAAAAATCAATGTAAATTTTTTAAATTCTTTGTTAAGAATTATTAAGCATAAAGCTCTTTAAATTCTTTGTTAAAAACAAACCTATATAATCTCTCAAATAATACAGGCAACACATAGTCTTATAACACTGTAAACATTTAAATATTCTTAAACGATCTTCCAAGCTAGCGAGAAAACTTTCGCACGCTAATTTCTTCAAACATTCTTTGATTTATTCTGAAAAGTAGAAGTCTGCGATAGAACCTAATTGTCTTATGTTATAAAGCAGTACCTTGTTCGTACAGAAACCATCGAAGAAAATTAAAACGCAAACTTTATTTCTGATTGAGAAAAGAAAATAATTTCGTGGAACAGGAGGTGCCGCCAATGATCCTCCATAACAACGAGCACTTGATATACCTCTTACCGTAATATTGCTCCTTCAACTCCTTGCTTTATGATATCGTAGCAGACTCGTGGTGAAGATTTCAAAGAGAATTTAACAAACATACATATAACTCAATTCCTTTAAAATCAAATTAAGTATTATCTTCTATTATTCATTATTTAACACTAAAACTACCACATCCATCCAAATGACGGATTCTCATTTTTTCTCCAAAATACCAATATATTGTATTTTCATATTATATTTACTTAGCTGAAATTCTCCGAAGTAGAAATGTTAAATGTAATTCTCGTCTTTTTATTCTTCGAGATCTGAAAGTACTATTATGATTGAAATATTCTCAGAATTTTATTTTTTATTTATTTAAATTAAATTAAATTTACATTGCCATTAAATTCATATAAATTTCAGTAATTGAAAAAAGGAACATATTTATACTTAACATAGCTACGTATTATTTAAACAATTTAGAAATATCTTAAATGAAGATAGAAGTAAAAGATGAGGATGTCTATACAAGACATAAAGTATTAAAATGTGTCTATAAACGCGTAAGTTGGAAACTATTCAGTTGATAATCCGACTATATAAATAAGATGTGATAATGACTGTTTAGCAATTTAATCAATCGAAAACTACGAGATTGTTTCACTAACGCAGCAGCATCGCTATCAATGGAAAATCAATTAACCGCTCAGCGACTGTTCGAATGCCTATTAATTAAATACTTGATTATCTGCATGCACAATAGCCGAATCGTTAGTAGGGCGTAATTGGTGCATCATCGGATTAATCAATTACGTGGATGCTTTTGGCACAGTTCACGTTAACTAACGTTCATACGAGTTCTCTCCTTTACACCTGCACAATTTCTATTGTAGTATTCTCGAAAGTAACATCAAAAGTAATAAAAGTAATGAAAATACTAAAGAATTGTAGAAACAACATTTAATTTCTACTGACTAGTTTAGACACTAACTCCAATTCCTTTATATTAAATTTAATATTTCTAAAGAAAGGTTTTGTTTCGAAACAACTGCTTTTAAAAATTTATATAATACGTGTGTAATTGCACAATTTTTACCATTCGCTTATTATTACGAATAACAAAGTAATAACATTTAAAATATTGATATCAGTATTCATATTTCCAAGTAATTAATAGATATACACCGCTCGATGCATTGTCACATTGACAGACTTTATTCGTATCACAGTAAATTAAAATTAATATTTCAGTAATAATAGAATTATTTTAATTCCTTATTTCTATCATCTACCAAAAATATTTACGTTCAAGATTTTAATCGGATTGTCCCCCCATTAGTGATTTATTTGATCCAATTTCTTTCATTGCATCTAAATATTTAAATATGTTCGTCCACGTACGGATACGGATAAACTATTAAAAACATTATCCAGGAATTTATTTAAATGCGAATGTGAGTGACAAAGTTTTTAAATCAAATTCAATTATAAATTTGGGGGGAGAGATACCAGATTTTTAATCAATTTTTCTTCTGATTATATTTACGTTAACACAAGTTTCTAAAATTCCCTCAATTATGTAAAAATTAAATAGAAAATTGTTACTTGGTCTGATTGCATTCCGTATCCCATGTATACCTATTCTGTATTTATCTATTATGTAAAATATGTACTATGTAGAATAGTAATCTAAAGAGTCTCGATTTAATTTGTTTTTTCTATCGAGAAGCTTCTTAACCTATGCCTTCTGAATTTCATATAAATTTTGAATAATGTCTTCTCGACAACGACCAATTTGTGCATCAATTATATTTATCCGTGTCTCAGTTCAAATGTTATTATCCAAGTGGAACTAGCCAGGTTTGCGATCTCCAAGATCTAATCAGAGTCCCACTTAATCTTGTTTTATGATCTAGGCGCGATATTACAGAAGAAGGATACTGATGTGTCCCGGTAGACCACCACAGCCGATACCATCCACCGTTTACGCAGTAAGTCAGCTTCTTGTACCACAAATTAAACCCTAAATTCAGAATTAAAAAAAATATTATACTTTCTAATATTGAAAATATTTACCTAACACGTTGAAAAACATTAGAAAACAAATGTTGAAAATTTTTAATCACTTTGTACAATTTTTTTATTTAAAAAAGAATTATTTTGTCAAATCTGGTAACGATAATTCCACGTAGGATGGCCCAGGCTCATTTAAATTGTCAAATACCTATATTTTCAATTGTTTTGAGTGGTATACTTAATCCTGCACAGAAGCCTATACAATTATTCTGCATATGTGTAATTTATTTTCATAAATATATTTTGTTTTGTTAGATATACCAACAACATTTATGATTTAATACGCGAGCTGCTGTAAAAGTTTCGGAAAACAAAGAGAAAATTCGGAAATAAATTTAAACTAATGGTCTCAATTGTGTCGTATTGGTACTCTCTAACCTTAAAAACATAAAGCTTTACGAAAGTAACATAAACCCTCGA